GCAGCCACTTCATTTTTCATCAAACATTTAGGCAAAGCATAGAATATCCAACAAATTCATAAGGTTCTTCATTAAGTGTACTATATTGGACTATAAGGAGTTGGTAAGCCTGAAGCTGGACATCTTTCTTATCTTCGTGTTTTGATGAATCATTGTAATGTATGGTTTCTTCCTCTGACGATCTCCATCACGAGACGGACAAAAGCTCAGCAAGGATTCAATGGAGTTGCAGGGCGGTGCGCCGAGGACCTATTTGTACAAATCAATGGTCACAGCTCCAGGGTAATCCGTCTTCAGCTTCTGGAAAATTCAACTATCAATTTCCTTATCACCATAAACGAAATAGGATAAATGCATCTCATATACTTTTCAACTCGTTTGAAGAGACGTGTGGAAGGAATTCATAAATTCACCTCACCGGAAACTGAAGACGGATTATTTTAGAGTTGTGACTATTTATTTGTACAAATAGGTCCTCGGCACATCACCCTGCGACTCCGAGGAATCCTTGCTGAGCTTTCGTCCGTCTTGTGATGGAGATCGTCAGAGCAGGACATCATGCTTTACAATGCTTCACCAAAACACGAATAGTAAAATGGTGACCGGCTGCAAGCCTACCAACTTCTTATAGTCCAATATAGTACACTTAATGAGCAATCTTATGATTTGGTTGGATATTCTATGCTGCGGTTGAAGCATGAAACGGATGCAATTGTGATCGAGCAACTACATCCCCTCTCAAATCATTTATACGTTTGCTCTTGCAATGGTGAGTAATATGATTGCGTTCCATTGCACATATGCTATTTGTGATCTAATTGTAGTCTCGAAGGCCTACTTATAAACGAAAGATTTAAAAAGTAGTTAATCTTCAATCTATTAAATCATTCTTCGGAACTCAGTTTTTCTTTAACAAATAAGATTAACTGGTGGAATATTTCGTTCCTATCACAAGATATTCTTGTTGACTAATTTTTGTTGGATAGCAGGTAAGTCTTAGCTTAGTGTGATAACATTAATTTATGACCAACGATAATTATCACACTATAATTTTATAATATTTTTGCGTCGTATTACTATTTTTGCTTCAGAAGGGAACTTAACTACATTCGTAAGCCACGGCGTAAGTGGATTTGCCTTCGGCCTTCAGCCTCCCGATATGAGGTTGACAAGCATCAAACAATTTCGATTCCGCCAGATGACACAGGTCACGGTGAAGATGCCTCGAACTCGATTTCTATATCTTTCTCGCTGCCTCCGCTGAGTCAAAATCTTCTGCTTAATCGTACTGGCCAATTTCCTACTACTTCTTGTGGGATGATCGAGGAACCGAATAAAAGTACCACAATGAACTCGAATCTAAGCCAAATAATGCAGCATGACCTTCAGAATACTTTTTTGTTGCACAAGTCTCTGATTGCGCCAACCGATTCAGACGTCCCTGGGGCCGAACGAGGCCGATACACCAATGTCTATGCTTCCCGAAACGTAAATTCTAATTCCCCATTATGTGAAGAAGTTGAAGATGATCAAGTGCCGCTTCCTCCACCTTACACTACTGATCAGGCACCATATGTCACAGCGTCATCGCGAACAGCTAGCGGACATACTCAGGTCGGTCTGCACGTTGGATTTACAGACGATCAGACGTCGACTGCCTCTGAACCACTTCAGCCTGCTGATTCTGGTTGCTACAACGCCAACTATAGCCACTTTCCTTCGGTCTCACTGGCTCAATTTCGGTCTTGGAATATTAGTAATATAGGCTCTGTAGGCCTGCGAGAGCCCAATTTGACGCAGCAGGTTGATGGGTTGTCCAAGGATCTTGCGGTAACAGAGGCAGAAAAGAATGTGGAGATGGATAGACCTGAAAACACTTTTATTGAGAATGGACAGATAAAGGAAGTGAGTACTTTTAACGTTCCACTATGCGAACCGCCCTTCACATAGATATTATTTTATTATATTATTCATTTATTTAATTACTTTCAGAGCATTCTTGGCCCCTTGTAAATTTATTTGTTATGTTATTTTTGCAAATAATTTAAGATTTGCCTATCATCTAAATCATCTCTAGCTTAGGTCGGATCAACTATTATTTTATTAATGGCGATTTACACTGGGCTGTGCTAGTTCTTTAGATTACCATGAAATTTGAATATCCCCTGTCAGTATTCGCATTTTTGGTGGGATTCTTTCCCACTTGGATGGTTGATCAGCTTGCTAATGCATTGTATAGTGCCTTACAGATTGTCTAGCATCTAAACCGTGCATATGGGGCCTTCTTGGAAACAGATATGCAACTCGAGTAGAATAAAGATCTGTTTGTACTTTAGGGGAGATCCTAATGAAATCATCGCAGCACAGCTTCTTGGCGTAAAGTGATGGTAACACTACCTTCTATTCAGTTTTCTCAGTTTGCGCCTGATATCTTTGGTGCTATGTAGTACATTCCTCCTTGATCAGTGTCAGACAATTTATTTCTTAACCGAGGACTTCTACGTAAAATTCGGCGATTTTCCCTCGGTTCATATGAATTTGACCCGCTAATTTATTCCACTGACCTTAAATTCTTTAAAATCCATTCTATCAACATTTTTCAGAATTCGTCATCATTATTATACTTGACTTTGTTCTTCGGGAATTATGATGTAATATGAAATGAGGAGGTGGATGGCAGTCGTAGTGTAATTGAACAGCCTCTGAGCATTCATCTAACTATGGTGTACTCTAATTGTGTGATTGAAGCCACTTGAGCTGAAACCCTCTGAACGAATTTGTGCAATATTTTTTTGTTTGAGGCTTTTGCTGGTGTACATAAATGGGGCAAATTCTATGAAAACATCCCTTTTTTCAGTATCCTTATTACTTTTCCAGCTGCCGTCTTCAGGCACACAATAGTTCTCCTTTTATGGATCCGCACAGTTGCAATTTTCAATCGGAATTTTCTGGGAGTTCCTCACTTCTGTTGTTGTGTAAATACTTACTTCAACTCGTTTGATAGTTTGAGTAGAATCTAATTATCTCACTGCGATATTCTCGATTTCTCTTATCTTTTGGCAATTTTAACGGGCAGATCTGGAGCGAGCTCCAATTACCATGTAGTTCTGGTTAGATGCTGCAAAATAAATTTTCCGATGCAAAAGAATCAACTAATTAATATTCCGTGCAGAGTTTCTTCTAAATTCGCCTGATTATCCAGTCTCTTTGACGCTACGCCAGAGGATAACCACCTCATTTTTAATTTTAAACGACTCATGCTTCTCTTGTTATATATATATATATATATATATAACAGCACCTATATACAGCTACCACGACATCTCTGTATGCCTTCAATACTAATTGATTATTTTGTTTAGGTTTCCTTATGATTCCTATGATTTTTATACCATATTCACACATGGCTATCAATTAAGGGGACAATCTTCAACTAAATGGCACTCTACCATACAACTCATCCACTCCAACCAGGACAAGATTTGCCTTTCTTATCTTAATTTGAATTAATGGTTGCAATTTTCACTGTCTTCCTTAGGTCCCAAATAGTGTTTTGCTGATTATGAGGGCTGTAAAGCTCAGTGTGAGATAGCGGTCTATAGAGATGAACAAAACAGCCAACATTCTGAAAAGAGGAGCGTACATAAGATATACAATAAAAACTACTCGTGATTTTGGAATAGGCCTCAGGGTGAGAATAAGAGAGAACAAGAAGAGCCGCTGAGTAGGAGGGGGCTTGAACAGCTTCAAATCTGGTTAACGCCTTCTCACCCTACCTAATTTAAAATTTTGTATTCAAACCATATATACACAATTATAAACCTAAACACGCGTCAACATTGTAGCTTATTTATGTAAAGAAACAGCTGTGACCACATCCACATCCTCTTCATGCATCGATTTCATTTATCAGCAAGCATGCATATGAGTGATAACAACACTGTCTAAGGCTTGATTATAAATATGTTATCAGTTTAAACATAGCCAGAGGTGTATTTCACTTTGCCATCTGCTAATTAAGACATGTGGATTATGTTTCCATTTACTTGTAAATAATTAATCAGATATCGATGCTTCAGAGTTTGACCTTATTGCATTCTTCCATTTAAATTTAAGTTCCCCTTTAAATCCTTTAGCACTTTTTTCAAGGCTCATATTTATTTTGAGCATTTTTAAGATAGTCATCGGCCTCGATTACGATAGGTACAAGGGGTAAGTTCAAAACGATTTTAGCTAGATACAAATGTTAGCATCAACAGATCGCACAGTGATTCATATTTATATCTAGTTAACGATCTCTATTTATTTTACTTTGTCACTCCTAGTGTTCGCGATAGCAAGACGATCTAATCATTACAAAGATACAGTCCTTCTGACCTTACAAAGAGGCAGTCAGCAGGCATCTGGTCAGCATTTATAATATACATTCATCATTAAGTATCCTTTTACAATCAAATTATGCGAAACTCTTCAAGCGCTATTTACTTTCCAAAAGTGTGGAACATTTAGTTGCACAATCTTTTTGATTGTTTTCAATTGTCAAGACCACGCTCCAGCTTTAGCTTTAGGCTATATTTATTGACTTAACATTCTACTTATACTCGTTTTCTTCACTTGTTTGGGCGACAGGAAGTTCTTGTCAAACCTACCTAATCCTGTGTCCCCTAACATAGTATTCATGATAATTACCATGATCTGACTGATAATTTGGTATATTTCATTTTTCGCCAGCACCCTAGTCGATATTGCTAGTGAGAAGCGCCAACCTTTACAACTGGCTACAATTAATAAAAATGCCAAATGATGGCAATCCTCTTGACTAACTTTCGGTCAACCATTGTGCCATCTTGCCCCTGTCCTAGCTCATAACCCTGCATCCCCATCCATCATCCAAGTCAATACGGACAATTTACTTACCTACATCTATATTGAAATAAAGGAAGGTACATATAGTCGTAGATAGGTAAGTTATGCATATGAAATAGGGTTGAGAAACAGGGATACAGATTTGGGGCTGGGACAGAGGGGAGGGGAGCTGCCGTAGTGGTTCGACACAAAATTGGTCAAGGGGATTGCCTTCACTTGCTATTTTTATTAGTTTTAGCTCGGTGCTGATGCTGGCTGGCACCTTTCACAGAGGATGAAGGCGAAACGTCTGAGATTTGTCAAGGCAACTGTTTGATGCTGGAAATTAGCATGATTACCGTGGCAAAGAGTGTAGGACTGAGTATGTTCAATCCTATTAAATATGAGTATTATCTCGTAATTAACATAGTTTCACATTAGCATCTTTTTATTATTTATCTTAAGCACTTAAATATTTTAATTTCTCTTCAATTTTTAGTTCTTTTTGTCTTAACCGAATGAGTCTTATTAAAAATTTAGCGTATAAATCGAAAAGAGTAGGTTTTTGTGCTTCTCCATTTTTAATATCACTTCATTTCACTTCTTTAAGTGTTTTCAGACTCAATAAGCTAACCAATCCACATGAAACCATTGATTCATATTTTTAATCTCACAATATTAATTTTTCTTATTCAGCAAATACAGCTTACGACCCTAACCTAAGCACAAATAACTGAATTTTTTTCGGATTATTCATCTTTATTGTAGTTAATTTAATCATAATTTCTGAAGCCAGTGAAGATTTTTTGATAGGATACTTTAGGGGCAAATGAACCAAATCATCAGGGCCAGATATCATACTCAATTTTTATCACCCGATTATAAACATATAGTCTATCTTTAAATTCCTCCCTGTTATACTTTGCTTCAAGCTTCGATATTATTTGGTTTTCTGCATCGAACCTTGACACCTCAACTCTTTATTTGCAATCCGTGATGTTTTATTTTCGGTACTTGTGTCTCGAAACCCTACTTATGAACCAAAAATATATTTGTCTCTTGTTTCCTCCCTTCATTTCCCCTTTATTGACATGGATACATTTTTCTTGCATCGCTATAAAATGACACAAATTATTTAACCTTCTTCTAGACCGACTCCACTAGATAAAAGTTACTTTGTTAAATAATAACTTTAATAACTTGCACAATAAGAATTTCACCTAGAGAAATCAGTCAGGCTGAAATCGTGGTTAGTGGGACTGCTGTGCTTATAACTTTACATTCCCAATTTCCAAATCCGTTGGTATGGCTAATGGAAAGCAGGTCCAAAAGACTCCAAACTGAATTCCATTATATTTTTCTTAAGCAATTACTATAAATATTATATTTTATCATTATTATATTCTTAGAATCTATCTGTGCCCATTATTCCTTCTGTAAACTTGTTGGAAATTCAGCAAATGAACCTATATGCAAACTTTTGACCGACCTTAATTATTTTTATCAATTTATAGTACTTGAGTATAAGCAATTCCCTTAATTGTAATATACACTAAAAATCCTGCATACCCTATTATAATCCGCCCTAATCAGCCAGTAAAGGGAATAATAATGACTACCTTTCCTTATTAACTAATTTAGAATTGTGCCATTTAGTTTGTGTTCATTTATGATTTTATTCGAGTTTTTTTCCTATGACAAAAAAGCATCGCTTCTCTATACTCTTAGCCGATCCAGCTCCGCCGTTCCGGCCCAGTAGTTCCCGTTTCTCATAGCGTGGCGACAACGACAGCAGATATATTTTGTGGTCCGGCTTCCAGGGTTGATCGATGTGGGCAGAGCTTGGAACTCACTGGTCCTGTTTACCCACAGCATCCGACTCCAACATCTTCCATCTCATCTTCGTATTCTCTCAGTCATATACCATCTATTCAAGGTGTGGTGGGTTCTATGCAACGCCATCGGCCATTTCAGGATGCTAGCAGCAAAACTGCGGATATAGAGGCTTGCGCTAGCTTGGCACCACCTACGCCGATAATGATGGTAGCGACAAGCAATTCGGCTTTTGCTCCAGAACGTCTGACAACTCTGGTCTATGCTGATGGCATAGCTTCAAATGGCTCCCATGAAAGGTCTGATTGGGGGCCTCAGTCTACTGATATTCTCTTAAATGAGTTACAGTTTATTCAGACGCTAGAACCAGATGACTCCGATCCCCATTCTGGCCCGATATTGGTACCTAGACCTCGAAATGTATCCGATGAGGTAAGTTATAATCTGCAGGCCCACTGTAAAACACCGACATTCGTTGCGGAGTGGCTTAGCGATAACATGTAGCAATTATATGCTGCACTACTCTGGTTGATTCCCATCTAGAATGCTAAGACTTACGCGAGGTTGAAATTGCAGTCCAACTTGAATTAGAAGAACTTTTGGGACCTAAGGTTAAGGAAAATTTAATAACATCGTGAGACCTACTCATATTATGAGAGACTTCAACTATCAGTCCTTTATCACCTTTTGTGACCTAGGGTGAATATAGCTCTCACTCTAATTTATTCTCTCTAATTAGCTTTCCTCTATACATTAGGGGATAAAATTGTATTTTTTCAAGACCCTAAGCCGAGATTTTACTGTTTATTTTCAATCACTTACTTATTTCTGTGCTTGCTAAGTTGGAATTGAAATACTACGGTTTTGTTTAGCCGTATTTACCATTTTCTATTAACCGAGACAAATCAGTCTCATAACTTGAGTACTACCACTGTAACGTTGCACATTCATAC